ACACACACACACACACACACACACACACACATATATATATATATATACACACACACACACACACACACACACACACATATATATATATATATATATATATATACAATTCTTTTCCAAGCTAAACAATTTTATGAACCCGCAAATGACTAACTCAGTCAATTTGACAGATAAAGTGATAAAATGTTATGTGGTGTTAGCTGAAACTGTTCCACCATTTATATTTTGAGTCCTAACGGATCACATAGTGCAGTCACTAACAGATCATTCAGGATATCACAACTCATTACACTTCATGATATGTTCAAGGTATGACCACCATGGTCGTAAGTACACAATGTCTTAACATAAGGTAATCAAAATTTAAAATTCTAGCATGAAAAGTAGTGGTCAATATGCATTCTTTAATGAATGCTAGGCCTTTTATTGGATTTTGTTTTTAAAACTGCAAGACTTCATGCCTTATATATCAGTGCTGAAGACGTGCTAGCAGTAAAGTCTGTCAGACTTTGTTCCCATTTGGCCCATTGGGAGAGTATGCAGGTTAAAGCCCGGAATAAAGCAAGATGGCCTGAGGGTAGAGACGCAGACACGGGCTAAACTGGGAGAAGTGGGTCACCTTGACACTGCACAACTCTACCCTATTTGAGCAAATTCATTAACAGACTTTTAGACCGTTGGAGAGGAAAGTGGTGCGCAGAACGCTTATTTGGCTGTGGCAAACAGACAACTAGCAGGGAAAAGTTCAAACACTGAAACAAACATATGGTTATTTATCGGCAACACTAGGGAGAAAAATGACAGATCACAAGATGCTGTAAGGCTGTACAATGCTTGTTAAAAGCTAGGCTCACTCACTTCATCTATAGCAAAACAATAACTTTAGTGAACGAGGAAACTCTTCCTTGAAGAAATAACTTCATGGACAAACAAACAAAAAGGTCAATCAGACATAAACACAGCAATAGTGTAAAGTATTCAATATGTAATGTTAAAACTTGGACTATTTGTCACTGTAATATGTTTATTTATATCATTAAAGCTTCTTTTGGCAGCAGGCAATAATGTAGTTTGATGTGTGTGTCGTTTGTCTGGATGTTAACAAGATATCTCATGAACGACTGGACAATGGTTTGCAATTTCTGGATGTAAATCTAAAACAGATTTTAGATCCAGGTACAGAAAGTGAAGCCCAATCAGGATGAGTCCCTCTCATAGGCTGGCTGCAGTAAAAGTTTAAATCTATGTCAACAAATGGGACTAAAACATGAATACAGCTCAAACAGTGATTTCAAAGTGTTGACTTCTGTTCATGTTCATGGCTTTTACTTCGCTGTTGTATTTTCCAACATTTATTTTTCTTTATCGTTTAGTTGTACTTAGTTATTTGATGACTGAGATTATCCCATAATCGTGTGCAAGAAAGAAGGTGAGGCTTTGAGTACATCCCTACACCCAATCTGCACATCTGGATCTAAAAAAAACAGCATGGCTGCACATATAAACTGATATTTTGGCTTCAGTTTTAATTAACGGGTGACATTTTGTTAATTTTTGTGCTGATAAGGCTACTGAGTGGTTGACACAGATAACTGACCCCAGACAAGAAAAAAAAAACATGCTCCAAAGGAATTCAATGGGACAGTTATTTTGCTAATTCAAACATACTTAAAGTGCTATCAGCTTATAGAATCGAGCTTGCAATATTGCGTGCTGTTGTATTTTTTTTATCATTCGCTGAAAGAGGATGAAATTGTCATTTTTCAAGATAAGATGATTTGAGTTTTTAACTTTGTCATGGATGGTGTTGAGCAATATGCATTCCTTCAAAGGATGCTGGATCATGCATTTATAAAGAGGAGTTCCTGACTAAATGCATGTTTTTGAAAACCAGCCTGCAGAATGAAAGATGTTCAGGAGTGTTCTGGCAAAAACAATAAGTGAGGCAAGAAAAAAACAAAACACAGCTTGGGAATTTTGTGATTGTGATATTAAAACCCCCCAAAAAACACTTGAAGTGACACATTCTCCCCAAAACTTGATGGGGGAAAAAAAAGATAAGCAAAAGGATTAAACACTTTGGGAAGTGTTAGTAGTAACTGTGACAGTAAAAACAAAAAAATCAGTAACAAAAGAAACATCCATCATATATTTGTTAAAGACGAGGTCTATTCATGTAAAGAGTAAAAAATAGCAAAATAGGAGGAAACCCTAAAAACAACAATTTACAAGTCAACACCAAATAACACTGTGAAGTTAGTTAATGTGAATAAATACTTTTACGTTTTAATAACTTAAATGATAATTTGGGGGTTTTGTTAGTAGCTTGAAGTCAAAATGTATACAGAAATAAGCAAAATGTTTAGTTAAACACTTGGCTGCAGTTGGCTTCACGCTAACATATTATTCTATCTTTGTATTTTTACATTATGATATTACTTTTAAGAAGTTGTTTATGTTTTAAATGTTCAGACACCACTGTAAAGGAACTATAATATGTTTGAATGTCCTGACTGGGCCTCAAGTGTTTCAGCTCTAATCAGTAACTATAATTTCAGGCATTGTAAATGTCTTAAAACCACATGACGTCAAGACAATTGATCTGGAGAGGAAGAAAAATAGTAATAATACATGGAAATTTATGAAAAGATGTTGGCTGTTTGTGTCCACTCCTAGTAGAGGTAAAATTATTGTGTCAAGTCTGTCTTTTATCGAGGCGGAGGTGATATTCCCTCAAGTGGCCGCCTGTCTCATCAGAACCACTTTAATCAGAGTGAAGGGGATCTGTCTTGTGCGGTTAAATCTCCAAAATACTATTCAATCTAAAGGGTCGTTTATATGCTAATGCAAAGGTTACTTTTGCACAAGCCTTTTGACACTGCTGTTTGGCTGTTAGGTTGTGCACAAAAAATAAAAACGGGTAAAAAAATGTTGGTTGAAAAAGAATAATGAGAGAGAAAGATGAAGATACTGGAAGAGAGATATTCCCCTTGAGGGGGTGGGGTGCCATAGGTAATTAAAAGAGGATGGACAGAGCTGGAGTTGTGCCAAAGAGTGCTTCAGCTCTCCTCAGACTTCTTCCTCAGTCAGACCTTCTACCTACAGTGAAACACGCTGCTCGCTGGACATGAACATGCAGAGGGACAAACAGCTCCGAAATGTAACAATCAGCCACTCGTGATCTGTGCAGGAAACACATGCA